CCGGGGTAGGGGGCGTGCCCTGAGCCCGCTTCCCAGGCCGTTTTGCCGCCTCGGCCTTGGGATCCGTGGGAGCGGGCCGCGAGCTGGGAGGCCTCCGTGCGAAGGGAAGGGTGGCTGCCTGAAAGCGGGGAGCCGTCTCGGAGAGCACGTAACGCCTGGGCTCCCTGAGGTGGTTAGCTGACGCCGTTGCCTTACGGAGTGTCAGATGTGTTGGGTTTTGTTTTGTTTTGTTTTGCTTTTTTTTTTTTTTTTCCTAAACGACGATCAATTTTGCTTTTTATTAGTGGTTTAAGACGTCCCGGTCCCCTGCTGTTTGTTCCTGCTCCCTCGATGCTGCGTTTGTAGCTTCGTAAATGGCTAACTTGGTATGACTGACTTTTTAACGTGCATCAGCGATGAATGGAAACGTTCTCCACCGGCTGGTAGTCTGCTTCGGCAGGGTCTTGCCCTCCGTTTCCTTCTCTTGTGAGGATGTTTCTGCTTACTTAGCTGCGCTGCTTGACTCGTGAGCTTTTTGTGTGGCAGTAGTGCGTTAAATGAAGTGGCAAGAGCTAGTGGTGATCAAGTGGGACACAGGAGAGCTAAAATGTTCCGTTCACGTCTATTTATTTTTTAAATATTAGTATGATCATTGCTTGTGCGTACAAAGCAAAATCAATGACTCAGCTGATCTGCTGTGATTGCAGTAATTTCTGTAAAATAAATTGTCATGTGACTTACTTGATGAAGTTCTGGGCTTTTATCAACTCGAAACCAAATATGGTCTCTTTTTAAATCGTAGGTTCTTGAGTGTGGAGTCTGTGAAGATGTATTTTCTTTGCAAGGTGACAAAGTTCCCCGACTGCTTTTGTGTGGCCATACTGTCTGCCATGACTGTCTTACCCGGCTTCCCCTTCATGGCGGAGCGGTTCGATGTCTCTTTGGTCGACAAGTTACTGAACTAGGTAAGAAAATGTAAGTTCTTAAAACCTGACAGCCAAGGAAATCTAGAAGATAATGCTAGATACAGTTTCTTAACGCTCCACTTACTGATAATATTTCCAAGTAATGAATGTGCAGTGATCCTTTTCATTCAGAGAAGCTCATAGCACTGTTAAGCACTAGTAAAATAGATATTTAAGAAGAAGAAAGTAAAGATTTTACCTTTATCTTCTGGAAGCTGGGCTTGTAAGATTTATACTTTAAAGTCTTTTTGTACACCTATTTTTAAAAAAGGACTACCCTATTTTAAATTAGTGTTTAAAGGTTCCTGAATGGTTACGGGTTTCCTGTTGTCCTAAATACTAAATAAACCATGCAATTAAATAGGTAGTTTCTTTGACAATCAGATTTGTCTGGATTTGTGATGAAGTGATATAGAGGGAAGTAGCACACATAACAAACCTGGTTTTTAAAGTGTAAAGTAATTCTCCATGTAAAATGACTGATAGTGACAGGCTATCAACAGGAATTCCCCTGCTGTAGAAGTCTCTGCAGATAGTATTTAAAAGGATAGGATACAGCTTTCATCCAACAGTGGGAGTTTATATTAGGCAAAAGATGACACATGCTTATAATTATGTCAGAATAGGAATTGCCTGTTCAGCGTGGGGTTACAGAGAAGATGAGTTGTCAGAAGAATTTGTACGGAGAAGAATTTGTTAATAGAATTGGTTTTAGCAGTTTTGAATTGCACAGGGGAAAAAAGCTGTTGAAAGGAGGAATATGCTCAGAGAAGAAGGTCTCTAATCTAGTAATTCATGAAAGAAACGTTTAAATGTCAAATTCACTGGAATAAGAATTCACTTTGCAGTAAGAGAAACTGCTAAAGTGTAGACCAAACCGAGGAATATTAAGGCTCTCTGTGGGTGCTTTCATGAAACAGGAGTCAGAAAAACAAATATCAGTCTCATATGAAAGAAGAGTTTGTTTTCTTCAGGGAGGGAGGTGGTAGGAATGAACATCATGAATGATTGCCAGTCTAGAAGATGTGTTTAAAAGAGTCATGATTTGGTTTATTTCTTATCTATGACTGTATAGCTGCATGAGGTTTCTTAAAGTATGCTTTTAAAGGGGAGAACATTATAGCACAAGACTCAGTCCTGCTGTTGTAAAACATTTCTGTCCGAGACCACTGCTTATATCTTGTAAACTGAAAGTCACAAGATATATATAAATAAATTTTTATTATGATAGGGAAAGTGTAACTTTTTAGTTTTTATTGTGCTTTTTTTTTTTTCCCCCCAGGCATCTGAAAGTATTCTACCAGAATTTTTTGAGGGTTTTGGGGTTAACGAAAATGAAGCTTTATAAAAATATTTAAAGCTTTTTCATCTTACGTAATTCTGAGGAACTTCTGATGAAGCACAGTGAAATGTTATTAAACTTGTAAGTCTCCTACAGAAAGGAAAAGGGAAGAAAAGCTTCAGCGTTTGTGTCTAGGATAGTGGACTTGAGTCCTGCTGACTAGGACTAGAAAAAAGGATGATACACTGTGAGCAGCAGTTGCTCAAAAAACTGACAGGTAGAAAATTTTAGTAAAACAGCTTAAAAGTGTAAATACTTCTGTGACTAACAATGTTATGCCTGGTGATTTGGGGCAGAAGAGGGTCATAGCCACTTTTAGCCTTACCAGGTCTATAAGAACTGTCTTAAGAAATATTATTGCTGCCAGCGTGAAAAAATAGGGTGTTTTGTGGAGTGCAACTTGTCATGACCCCTCTTTGAGGTGCCTGTGCATTTGTTGCCTTGCTCTAATCACCTAGTGGTTACAGCTGTTGGTTAAATCTGCTGCACTTGTATTTCTGTTTCCTTCTGAGACCTCAGGAGTGGAGCTGGGAGGGAAGAACGGCATCTCTGGGCCCAAGGAACTTCTCATCCTTCCCTCCCCTCCATTTGAGGGCATGTGAGAAGTCAAGCTCCATTTTCACCTGTTTCTGGAATTGCCGTTCTGCCCTGTTTAGTACCGAAATCTAGCTTATAGGGTCGCTGCCAAGAGAAAGTTCTGTTGGAAAAAAAAGCTGTATAATCATAGCGTAAAGCCACCGGTGTTGAACAAAGTTCCTTAATCAGTTACTGTGGATTTTATGGATGCTTTCAGTTGGTCATTTAACC